CCTCTCCTCCCTCTCCTCCCTCCTCCCTCCCTCCTCCCTCCTCCCCCTCCCTCCTCCTCCGCCGCCCTCCGCCCTCCGCCCTCCGCCCTCCGCCCTCCGCCCTCCGCCCTCCGCCCTCCGCCCTCCGCCCTCCGCCCTCCTCCCTCCTCCCTCCTCCCTCCTCCTCCTCCCTCCTCCCTCCTCCCTCCTCCCTCCTCCCTCCTCCCCCTCCCTCCTCCCTCCTCCCTCCTCCCTCCTCCCTCCTCCTCGCCTCCCTCCTCCCATCTCCCTCCCTCCTCCTCCTCCTCCTCCCTCCTCCTCCCTCCTCCCTCCTCCCCTCCTCCCCATCCTCCCTCCTCCCTCCTCCTCCCTCCTCTCCTCCTCTCTCCCTCCTCCTCCTCCTCCTCCTCCACCTCCCTCCTCCTCTCCTCCCTCCTCCTCCTCCTCCTCTCCACCTCCTCCTCCTCCTCCTCCTCCTCCTCCTCCTCCTCCTCCTCCCCTCCTCCTCCTCCTCCTCCTCCTCCTCCTCCTCCTCCTCCTCCTCCTCCTCCTGCTCCCCCCAGCGGCTGCGAGAGCACATAGGCAAATAGATTGGACATACTGTGATCCTAGTCATACGCTCCTTGGGAAACTTGTAAGGGCGTCAGGGAAACTCTGCGGGGTGTATGGTCCCAATCTTCCCGAACGCCTCCGGCTGTCAACTTCATCATGGGGGTCTTCTTCCAGGGTCAGCGGCACCGGTCAAAAGCCCTTCTCAATCTAGTACTGCCGATCGCAGGACGTCGCGGAGGGCCATGTCCAGGGCATATACAGGGAAATGATTGAATACACCTAGGGGTCTTCTGAGCAGAAAAATGTACGCGTGTCCCCTGTGTGCTGACGCTAACTTCCTTTACGTAATCCGCTGGGCCCCCTTGCGGGGCCATCAGGCTCCACGGATTAGGCTTGCTGTTCCCTGCTCCAGTTCCAGTTTCTAGTCTCCGATGTTACAATTCTGTGTTCTGCTTCCTACTGTGAATTGTTGAAGTCCGCGCGGGGGGGGGAGCCGAAAAGGGCCCTGGTTACCTTCACCCGGGGGGCTTTCTCGGAATTTCTTGGGGGTCCTGGGACACTTAATTATGCTAACGGAGTCCCCCACATAAAGATATTAACGGTTTCGTGGGACTCATGGGGTACGACAACATCAACACGAAGGAGAAGCTCATCGAACGAGTAAGTACGCACGAAAGGGCAGACGAAAGAAAGGAGGAGGGAGGACAGGTGCTCAGGAAACGAAGCCTTGTACATAGTACGGTTTCTTGATACCATCCTCGCTCTGGCAGGGCCCCGCTGGAAGGGGGGAGGGCTACGAAACTTGGTAAAGAGTAATGCTTTCCGCGACCCTCCTCTTTCAAGCGCGGCCTCTCTGGAGGAGTGGAGGGGGGACACGAAACCGTGTAAACTGCATTGTTTTCCGATACCCTCCTGGAGGAGGAGGAGGAGGAGGAGGAGGAGGAGGAGGAGGAGGAGGAGTGGAGGGGGGGCACGAAGACATGTAAATGATATGGGTTTCCGATGCCCTCCTGGCTCAGGAGGATGTAAATAGTATTGGTTTCCGATACCCTCCTCGCTCAGGCGGGGCCTCCCTGGAGGGGTGGGAACGGGCACGAAACCATGTAAATAGTACGGGTTTCCGATACCCTCCTCGCTCAGGCGGGGCCTCCCTAGAGGGGAGGGAGGGGCACGAAACCATGTAAATAGTATGGGTTTCCGATACCCTCCTCGCTCAGGCAGGGCCTCCCTGGAGGGGTGGGAAGGGCACGAAACCATATAAATTGTATGGGCTTCCGATACCTTCCTCGCTCTGGCGGGGCCTCCCGGGAGGGGTGGGAGGAGCAGGAAACCATGTAAATTGTATGGGTGTCCGATACCCTCCTCGCTCAGGCGGGGCCTCCCTGGAGGGGAGGGAGGGGCACGAAACCATGTAAATAGTATGGGTTTCCGATACCCTCCTCGCTCAGGCAGGGCCTCCCTGGAGGGGTGGGAGCGGCACGAAACCATGTAAATAGTATGGGTTTCCGATACCCTCCTCGCTCAGGCGGGGCCTCCCTGGAAGGGTGGGAGGGGCACGAAACCATGTAAATAGTATTGGTTTCCGATACCCTCCTCGCTCAGACGGGGCCTTCCTGGAGGGGTGGGAGGGGCTCGAAACCATGTAAAGAGTATGGGTTTCCGATACCCTCCTCGCTCAGGCGGGGCCTCTCTGGAGGGGAGGGAGGAGCAGGAAACCATGTAAATAGTATGGGTTTCCGATACCCTCCTCGCTCAGGCGGGGCCTCCCTAGAGGGGTGAGAGGGGCACGAAACCCGGGAGGCGGGAGGGAGAAGGAGAGGATGTTATGGGAAAATTATGCTAACGGAGTTCCCCACATAAAGAGATTAACGGTTTCGTGGGACCCATTTTCTTGATGCCCTCCTCGCTCAGGCGGGGCCTCCCTGGAGGTGTGGGAGGGGCACGAAACCATGTAAATAGTATGGTATTCCGATACCCTCCTCGCTCAGGCGGGGCCTCCCTGGAGGTGTGGGAGGGGCACGAAACCATGTAAATAGTATGGTATGGGAGGGGCACGAAACCATGTAAATAGTATGGTTTTCGGATACCCTCCTCGCTCAGGCGGGGCCTCCCTGGAGGGGTGGGAGGGGCACGAAACCATGTAAATAGTATGGTTTCCGATACCCTCCTCGCTCAGGCGGGGCCTCCCTGGAGGGGTGGGAGGGGCACGAAACCATGTAAATAGTATGGTTTGCCGATACCCTCCTCGCTCAGGCGGGGCCTCCCTGGAGGGGTGGGAGGGGCACGAAACCATGTAAATAGTATGGTTTCCGATACCCTCCTCGCTCAGGCGGGGCCTCCCTGGAGGGGTGGGAGGGGCACGAAACCATGTAAATAGTATGGTTTGCCGATACCCTCCTCGCTCAGGCGGGGCCTCCCTGGAGGGGTGGGAGGGGCACGAAACCATGTAAATAGTATGGTTTTCCGATACCCTCCTCGCTCAGGCGGGGCCTCCCTGGAGGGTGGGAGGGGCACGAAACCATGTAAATAGTATGGTTTTCCGATACCCTCCTCGCTCAGGCGGGCCCTCCCTGGAGGGTGGGAGGGGCACGAAACCATGTAAATAGTATGGTTGCCGATACCCTCCTCGCTCAGGCGGGGCCTCCCTGGAGGTGTGGGAGGGGCACGAAACCATGTAAATAGTATGGTTTGCCGATACCCTCCTCGCTCAGGCGGGGCCTCCCTGGAGGTGGGAGGGGCACGAAACCATGTAAATAGTATGGTTTGCCGATACCCTCCTCGCTCAGGCGGGGCCTCACGAAACCATGTAAATAGTATGGTTTTACCCTCCTCGCTCAGGCGGGGCCTCCCTGAAGGTCCGAGGGCGGGGCCTCCCTGGAGGTGTGGGAGGGGCACGAAACCATGTAAATAGTATGGTTTTCGATACCCTCCTCGCTCAGGCGGGGCCTCCCTGGAGGGGTGGGAGGGGCACGAAACCATGTAAATAGTATGGTTTCCGATACCCTCCTCGCTCAGGCGGGGCCTCCCTGGAGGGGTGGGAGGGGCACGAAACCATGTAAATAGTATGGTTTCCGATACCCTCCTCGCTCAGGCGGGGCCTCCCTGGAGGGGTGGGAGGGGCACGAAACCATGTAAGTAGTATGGTTTTCGGTATGGAGTGGTATGGAATGGTATGGTAGGTATGGTATGGTACGGTATGGTATGATATGGTATGGTATGGTACTGGAGGTATGGTATGGTATGGTACGGTGTGGCATTGGTGTGATATGGTATGGTATGCTATGGTACGCCATGGTATATGGTATGGTACGGTATGGTGTGGTGTGGTATGGTACGGTATGGTACGTATGGTGTGGTATGGTATGGTATGGTATGGTATGGTATGGTATGGTATGGTATGTGTGGTAGGAACTATGGTATGGTATGGTGTGTGTGGTAGGAATAATATTGTGCTGTATGGAAGATGGAGCGGGAGGTGGGTGGGAAGGAGAGGGTGTTCTGGGAAAACAAGAACCCCACTCAGGATGTGGGGAACAAGAACCCCACTGAGGATGTGGGGAAAAATACATGAGGCTCGCGCCCCCGAAACCACAATCCCTCGTAAATTATACCGCAAGCGCACCCCCGAGGCCATAATCATTCGTCAATTAGGCAATGTCCGCGTCCACGAGGCCAGAAACCCTCGCACATTAAGCTGTATTCGCGATCCCGAGACGATAAGTCCTTGCAAACTGCTCGATCTGATTCGCGCCTCCGAGGCAACACTCTCTCGTAAGCGACGCAATAGTTGCGTCACCGAAGCCACGATCCCTTGTAAATTACGCGTTCTTCGCGTCCCCGACATCATAAACCCTCGTACAGTACACAATGCTCGCGCTTTCGAGGCCACAACCATGTATAATAAAAGGCCCTCAAGACGGTACAAGAGACCTCCGAGACGGCACAAGAGTGTTGCAGGCGCCCAAGATGGTCCCAAGACGGCCCAAGAGGCTCCCAAGAGGCCCCCAAGAGCGCTCCAAGAGCACCCCCTAGAGGGGCCCAAGAGGCCAACATCTGCGATTGTCCTTAGGTTTTGGATGGATTTGGGCACGCTCGCCTTTTCGGGCTTCCGACGCTTCAGGACAGCCCAACAGGACCCCCAGGACCGCCCCAAGTCGGCCCAACAGGCTCTCAAGAGCGCCCCAAGACGGTTCAAGAGGGCCCCAAGACGGCCCCAAGGGTGACCCGAGACGGGGGACCCGAACCCAAGTGACCCCGTTCGGAGTTCCGACGCTGCTTCACGACGGCGCCCAGGCCTCACAACATAGGTCTTGTATACCCCATTCTCCGAGAGGGGGGGCCGGCGGCAGGGGGCGAAGCCCTTACGGATTGAAAGACGGTCGGGGCAACCACGGAGCTGATTCACGGGTTGGTGGGACACTATGCGCGCGCGCGTCTGCGCGCGCCTCTTGGCAGTCCCAGGAGGGCACCCGTCCGCGATCACCCCGTCGGGACACTTGCCCCCCTGCTGCCAGTCGTAGAAGACGCACTCCCACTCGGGATCCTGCTCCTCCGAAGCCACTTCCTGGTCCGGGCCACGGGCGCGCCGCGCCCCCACGCCCCCGCGGACCGCTACCGAGCTGCAGCAGGAGCTGGACCACACGAAGCCTTCCACACGAAACCCGACCCTGAAAACCCTGGGACGCCACTTGATTTCTGGGTACGGGGACGTCACGTTATGAGGAAAATCCTGAGGACCTCGCGCGGCAACTTGAGACCCGATGTACGTCGGATCCACGTCGGATTCACGTCGGATCCACGTCGGATTCACGTCGGATTTACGTCGGACTGACGCTGGAACATCGCCGCGCGAGCGTCGACCCATAGCTTACGGAGCTGGCGTGTGGACTAGATAACACAACTATTGCGCGCCACGCGAGGCCTCCAGGATTTTCCTCATAAGTCACGCTTTCCATAGCAGCACCAGCGAGACCCAAGAAACCGAGGGCGCCCTGGAGGCAAGCAGGGTGCGAGGCGGGGAGGTTGATCCCCATCCACCGCCTGGCAACTCGAGATCGCTTCTGTGGGGGGACCGAAACAAAAACTACGCCAGTGCGACCCTACCTAGAAGTTGGAGCCCCTAGGAAAGCAGCATGAGTTGCTATGCTATGCTATGATATGCTATACCATGTCATGCTATGCTGCGATATGCTATGCTGTGATATGATATGCTGCGTTATGATTTGCTATGATATGCTATGTTCAGCTATGCTAAAACATGCTGCGCTGTGCTATGCTATGATATGCTATGCTATGTTATGCTATGCTATGCTATGCTATGCTACGCTGTGCTATGATGTGCTGTGCTGTGCTGTGCTAAGCTATGCTATGATATGATATGCTGCGCTATGCTATGCTATGGTATGCTATGCTATGCTATGATATGCTATGCTGCGCTATGCTATGCTACGCTATGCTACGTTATGATGTGCTCTGCTATGCTAAAGCTCAGCAAAACTAAGATGAAGGTAAGCTGGGCTATGATAAACCTGAGCTAAGATGAAGCTAAGCTAAGCTAAGATTAAATAAGCTAAGCTAAGATGAGATAAGCAACGCTAAGCTAAGGGGACGTAACTGGGGGAACCGCGGGGCGGATACTGGGGGAACCGCCCGGGGCGATTTCCACTGCCCAGCCCTTTTAAGCACACCGAGTAAGAACCCTTCTAGGCAGAGCCTGGGTAGGGAACAAAAACTGGTGCCCTAAAGACCCAGCGGACTGTGGATATGGACATATGCTGGTTATGTTGCATCCTTCAGAGGCCTTGCCTGTCCCATTGCGGCCATATCTGAATCGAATCCGTGTCGAATCCATATCAGACTCGTCGGATCCGTCTCGAATCCGTATCGAATCCGCGTCGAATCCACGCCAAATCTGTGTCGAGTCTGCATCGACCCGCGTCGGGCACAAGAAAACACATGAAGTTTGGAGACAGGCGAGGTCCCCCCAAGATGCAACGTCATGTTGGCCCCTGGGGCCAAATGTATCCGTGCCCACCGCCCGCGGAGGTCCGCGAAAATCCATGCTCCAGGCGGTGGTCATGTCTGAATCCCCGCCTCGAATACGGGGCGCGCCCCCCTCGGTAGCAAGTCATGGGAGCTTGTGTACCCTCGTAATGCTGTCTTTAGCGTCGATTAGCGTCGGTTCGCGTCTGGGAGGCGATGAGATAGCGCCGATTTAGCGTCGATTAAACGTCGGTTCAGCGTCGATTCAGCGTCGATTTAGCGTCGATCTAGCGTCGACTAGCGTCGACGCGCAAGAGCCGACAAGATGGTATGGATGATCCCATGAGTTGCCACCGAACCCCCCATGCCCCAGCCCCTTTGGGCCCAGGAGCGGTGTATACACTCTCCTGGCCTAGCCAATGAGGCAGATACACCGCTCCTGGCCCCAGGATGGGTCTGGCAGGCACAGTGGATACAAATATAGAGATTTATAGAGAGAGGGAGAGAGAGAGAGAGAAGTTTCGTCGCCCGAATGCAGGGCGAACCCCTGACCCTGGCCCCAAGCTGTCGGCGGCGGCATCACAGGGGCGAACAGCCCAGGAGCGGGGGCACTGCGCGCGGTTCCCCTGGGAGCCCCGCCGAGAACCCCGCGGGGCGATCGGAGCCCCCGGATGCGCGCGAGGCTCCCGGCTGTACTGAAGGGGCCCTGGGACGCACAAATAAATACACACAAATAAAAAGATTCACCACATGTTCCCACATGTTTGGGGTTTTCGTCTTCCCCCCCACTTCCCCCCCACTTCCCATATTTTCCCATATTTTCTGGGGAGTCGACGATTAATTGTGTCTGTGTGTTTCTTTCCCTCCTGTTATATCCGCCCCTGCGTCTGTGGCAACTCTTAGCTCGGGCAGGGAGAGTAAACAATAATCAGAATATTCAAAAATTGTCTCTCTCACACACACGCACACACAAACAAAAAAACGAAAGACCGTCCCCAGACTAGTTTTCCCACTATTCTTGACCAGTCCTCCTGTAGAGGGGCATGCCCGACTTGAGGCAACTCATGTCTTGCTGGCTCTTGCGAATCAGCGCTGGTCGACGCGAATCCACGCTGAATCGGCGCTGAATCGACGCTGAATTGGCGCCACCTCATCGATTACCAGACGCTCCTCGACGCCAACGCTACCGAGCCCTGCTGCAGCCGCCGAGCCTGCGCCACCATGCCACAAGCCCAGCGCTCACTCCGTGCCCCAAGTCGGGGGGAACGAAAGGGTAGGATAGCAAAGGGCAGGGAGGAGAATCAGCTTACGTATCTAGCTTTCCTCGCACCTCCTGGCGCCAGAAGGCGCCCATGTATCGAGTAATTGACCCGTCGGCAGGGTGGAAACCAGCTGCATGCAGCAGATTTCCTACCCCCTCCCTCTCCCTATCCTACCCTGGGATCCGACGTCGCGAAATTCGCCGGCTCAACGTGCCAGAGGCATGCTAAGATCTCTGGCACCTGCTTTACAATATTTCCACTTCGCGCGCGCGGGGCGGCCCCTTGGGGTCCCCGGACGAAAAGTACCCAGGCCAGTTCGGGTCAGAGATGGTTTTCCTTCTGGACGCCGCCCTTCAGGCCCTCCAGAGCGCTCCAAGAGGGCCCCAAAAGGCCTCCAAGTCGATTCAAGAGGGCTCCCAGTCGTCGAACGATCGGTCCAAGACGCCCAATGTGACCTGCCTTCAGATAGCCCAAGACGCCTTTCAAACGCCCCAAGAGGCCACCAAGAGCCCTCCCAAGAGGGCCCCCAGAGGCAGAAAGTAATGGATTTCTTGTGGTTTGCCCGAGATTTAGGCGTTCTCACATTTTCGTCTTACCCGCGCTCCAAGAAGGCCCAAAAGGCCCCTAAGATTACCCCAATACGGCCCAAGACGCCTCCGAGAGGGCCAAAAAATTGCCCGAGGGCCCGAAGAAAAGCCCTCCAAGGCGGCCCAAGAGGCCCCCAAGAGAGCTCCAAGAGCGGGCCCTGAGGAGGCACTCGAGCGGACATTTCAGCTCTCGGCCCCGAGACCCAAGAAGGCCCCAAGAAGCCCTCAAGAAGCTCGCAAGAGGCCTCAAAAGGCCCCAAAATACCGCCAAGAAAACCCGAGAGGCCTCCCGAGAAACCTTTAGCAGCCTCCCAAACAGGCGTCTTGGGACCCAAAATGCTCCAAGAAGCGATCGAAAGGCCTCCTCCTCCTCCTCCTCCTCCTCCTCCTCCTCCTCCTCCTCCTCCTCTTCCTCCTCCTCCTCCTCATCATCCTCATCCTCATCCTCCTCATCCTCATCCTCATCCTCATCCTCATCCTCATCCTCATCCTCATCCTCCTCCTCCTCCTCCTCCTCCTCCTCCTCCTCCTCCTCCTCCTCCTCATCATCATCATCATCATCATCATCATCATCATCATCATCATCACATCATCATCATCATCATCATCATCATCATCAATCATCATCATCATCACCACCACCACCACCACCACCACCACCACCACCACCACCACACCATCATCATCATCATCATCATCATCATCATCACCACCACCACCACATCATCATCATCATCATCATCATTATCATCACCCTCATCATCATCATCAACAACAACAACATCATAATCATCGTCATCATCATAATCATCATCATCATCATCACCATCATCATCATCATCATCATCATCATCACCACCATCATCATCATCATCATCCTCATCATCATATAATCATCAGCATCATCATCGTCATCATCATCAGCATCATCATCATCCTCATCATCATCATCATCATCATCATCATCATCATCATCATCATCATCATCATCATCATCATCATCATCATCATCATCATCATCATCATCATCATCATCATCATCATCATCATCATCATCATCATCATCATCATCATCATCATCATCCCCTCCTCTTCCTCCTCCTCCTCCCCCTCCTCCTCCTCCTCCTCCTCCTCATTCTCCTTCTTGCTCGCCACGAGCATCCCTGACGATTCTGACCCACAACACACGCACAACGGTGGGATGGGTTCCAGGCGCTCTTCAATGCGCCCAACATGGGTCCCAGATGCCCAAGATGGCTTCCAAGACGGACCTGGGAGGCCACTAAATCCGCCAAGATGACAGAAGATGCCTCCAAGACAGCTGAAGAGGACCCAAAGAAGCCCCAAGAGCGCCCCAAGAGGTCCCCCAAGATGACCCACAGAGACAAAATTCAGTGCTTTTGGATAGTGCTCTTCAATGTTTTTCACGCTATAAGCTCCAAGACGGCCCCAGAGGCCCCAAAGACCGCCCCAAGACGGCCCAAGAGGCCCCCAAGCAAATCCCAAGACATCTCGAGACGGCCCCGAAACGGCCCAAGAGGCGCCAAGACAGCCCAAGAGAGCCCCAAAACGGCCTCAAGACGGGCCCAAGAGGGGAGCACGAACCGACAATTCGAGCCTTGCGCCCGAAGAGGCCACCAAAAAACCGCAAAAGGCTTCCAAGGCGCGCAATATGGGCCGGCGGAATGAATTGCAACATCGCTAAAATCACGAATGGAGCCCCGGACCACATC